CCTCCAGTTTTGAGTTTTATGTGGGAGCCATTCCAAAAAAAAACACCTTTGTGCCAAATCCATCTCTGGAGTAACTCCCAACAGATTTTGGTTGATGACTACCACAAGAGCCACTAAAAACTGGCCTCATCCAGGCAAAATAATGGAGACTTCTTCCTTTCTCCAAGGAACTCTGGGTAGGCAGAGCAGCCCAGTCAGAAGCTGTGTTGAGGGGATGCTCCAGGAACTGCCCCCCAACACTTCCCAACACTTCAAAATGATGGAAAAGGCAGCAGTGAGTTATCCATAGCTTTGGTCCCACTGGGTGCTGAAATGATGGAAAAGGCAGCAGTGTTATCCATAGCTTTGGTCCCACTGGGTGCTGAGTGTCTGTAGCTCTAAGTATCATCAACTGGCAGGGAGGAGGGTAAGCAAATAGTGGGTGTTGGGAGCATCAGGGTCTCTAATAGTGGTTGGAGAGAAGAGCAGCAGCTCAGAGCAGAAAACAAACCAGCAAACACCAACCACCTGGGGCAGGGGAGAAGAACATCTGCATCAAGAGGTGTGCAGCCATCCTACAGCCTGCACACTCATCACCTGAGCCACACTCTCACTGATCACTCACCTTTAGGCAGAACAAACACGAGGGGAAGGGGAATTGCGCTTTTCCCTGAGCACACATGGAACACTTTCAGGAAAGGCCTGCAAACGTGAGCGGCAGAGCCCTCACACTGCTCCCCTTGCCAGCCACCATCTCCATTCCACTGGGGAGGATACCAGCTCACCCGCCCCTGCCCTCCCCAGGAGGATCTGCTGACTCCTACCCCATCACTGCATTAGAGGGAAGGTTGGATTCTCCAAGGTATTTTGGGGAACACAGGTCCCCAGAGGCACTTCCAGCCATCTAACACCCTGTTTGCGAGGCAGGTGAGCTCCAAAAACCTTCCTGGCACACTACCCTGTGCCTGTCTGCTTCTGAGACCTGCAAATCCTGAACCAGGCCCAACCAGCTGAAGAACATCACAATGTCCCTTGTGATCCCCCTGAAATCCAGCAATCCCTGGACAATTCCTACCCCATTACTGCAGCAGCAGTGCATGGAATCTGCCATCAGGATCCCAGTTTGTTGCTCTTGTCTTTTAATCACCCACTATTCCCAGGCTGGACTTCCCCCCCTTGCCATCCCAGCCAGCAGCACCACTGCTGGGAGCATCACCCAGCACAAATTTCCCAGGTAGGGAACGTGTTGGTGGGAACAGCCAGGAACTCACCTTGTGGGTGCCCAGGTTGGTGATCCATACTGTTGGTTCAGTGACGACAGACAAAGCAACAAGCAGTGTCACAGGAACCAAGATTTCCAGGACCCACCTCCCCCCATTCAGGCTCCTGGCCACCCCTGCCCTGCATTGCCACCTGCTTCTACCCATCGAGAGGAATCTGCACAGTCCCCAAGTCACAAACATTTCAATGTCCACATTTCTTAGCCTCCAAATACTCAGTCAAAAGAAGCTTTTGTCAAGGAAAGCTCAGCCCAGACGGTTCCTGAAGAAATCCCAACCATGTGATGGCTTCAAACACAACTCCAAAGCCACAAAACACAACTACTGTCAGATGAGCCTGCCAAAGCACCAGATGCTGCTGCTGGAAAAACTGTTCTGCAGCCATGGGGTTTGGTCTGCACTGCCACCAAAGGGAAAGGAGGAGGATGCTGGAGCTGTGGGCTCCAGCACTGCTTGTGCAAAAGGAAAAAAAATAGGACAGAAGGAAACCAACTTTATTTCGCTTCCTTAACAGAAGTTGCCAGAGGCTTTGCATGCAGCAGCGCAATGTTCTCCACTAATAGGTATGTGGAGCACAGGACTGCAGCTGACCAGAGCTATAGGAGCTGGTCTCTAGGAGCAACAGACATCCCACCAGCAGCCTAACCTTCAATTCTTGACAGAGCCAGAGGAATCTGCAAAGAGTCCAAAGTGTTGGCTGCTGACCTGTGCCAGGGAGGCAGCTGCCATGGATCAGCCCCAGCATCAGGACTTGCCTGATTCTTCCCAAATGGCTCCATCTCCAGGAAAGTCACCCAAATGCTGCCTTAGCATCACCACCTAACCAAATGCTTGGTCTTTCTGACCAGGGAGTGCAAGATGGAGAGGCAGCTGTGGAAACAAGGAGCTCCAATACTCCAGTCACCTAGGATATGTTTTTATTGTGTGTTTTTGAACAAAACTGGAAATGTGCAAAGAGTCAACAACACTGCAGGGGAGGGGGCAGCTCCGGCTTCCCTGGGGTGGGGGCTGAGGTTTGGACACGAGTCTTTGGCTTCAGAGGATGGCAGGGACAGTATCTGCAAGAACAAGCTCTGGTAAGTGGTACTGACCTGGGTAAAGATCTTTCTCGATGAGCTTCATCTGGAGATGGAAGATCTGCTCCTGGAGCTTACAAATGGTGTGTTTCATTTTCTCCCGTCTCGTCACCATGTAACAGAGATTTCTGACCTGCAGAAACACAAGAAACAGTGTCTGGTTTAGGCAGGGTCAAAGTGGGTCCCCTCAAGCTGTGTCAGTGCTTCTGCTGCCCAGAGATATCCCAACTCCATGGATCTTGGTCCTCTTCATCTCACCATCATCTGTGCTGCACTGAAACCCCTACCAGGGCTGTTAGGATGTTCCAGAACCAGAGGTGAGGCCTCCTGATCTAAACTGTGTCATATATATGTAATGTAGTATGTAAACCATGGGAAAGCCTGTGCAGGGAATGACTCAAAGCCTCAATGTCTCTGTTCTGGCTCTGACAGCCAGGACCCTGTGGTGTGCAAGGAGAGCTGCCCAGCTCCTCCAGCATGTGCACTGGCCACACAAAAGCCATAAGGAAGAGGGGAATCCAGAGACACAGCTTTGAGTACCCTGAGAGCATGTCTCTGGTGGCACCACGTCTCCCTGCAAAGCCCCACAGACACTTGCCAACGTGGCTGGGGCACAGCAGCTGCCCTGGGAACCCAACCACAGCTCCACCAGCCCCTGCCCTGGCCCTGGAAACACGTTGGCCACCAACCACCGCTCTGGGAAGCAATGAGTTGGGACTGTCTGGCCTGGGGCAGCCCCAGGAATGAAGCCCTCCCCATGCAGTCTCTCTCTCCTGTCTTCTTCTGAACACCAACAATAAGCAAGTTAATATTTAACGTCTCCCATCAGTGGCCTGAATTCACCAGCAGGGTTTGCACCTCGGGGAAGTCCAACAGCACCAAGCGTGACACTAATCTGCTCCAACCAGCCAGGATGAATTTGCAGCACATCCTTAAACTCTGCTGTTGAGAGACATCAGCACACCAAGTGACCAACACCCACAAGACGGGAACAGAGCCAGAAGAAACGGGTAAATGATTTTGTGATCTTACCCAGGTACAGCAATGATGTGGACACAAGGGCTGTTTTAATCTCCTGTGAACTGTTCACAGACCTAATGAAGAAGTTAATGTCTCTTAAAGGATTTGCAAAGTCTTGGAAGGGAAGATGCTGTAGAAGAAGCATTATAATTATGCAAAGGCCCAGCAGAAGCAGAGAACCCTGAACACTGTGCTGAGCCTCCAGCCCAGCAGCTGCATCACACACGTGCCTTGTGTACACAGAAACCTGCACAAAGTAATGCCAAATGCTAAGAGGTCTTGGGTCCCCTGGGTTGACAGGACAGGTCTTGTCCACAAATTGCTCCTTTTGCAGGGAGGGAGAGAGAGACACTCTTCCTGCAGCCAGTGCAGCTGGGATGGACTTGCAGGAATGAGGCAACCAGTCTGTTTACACAGCCTTACAAAACTGCTTCTTGCCAAAAGTAAATGCCAGGACAGAGCATGGAAAATACAACAAAATAGCCCAGTGCTGCTGGCCGAGGTCAGCAGCCAGGAACTGCTGCAGCTCCAAAATCTGGCCAGCACCCTCCCCTCCACAGGGTCCCCCAAACCTGCTCCACATCTACCTGCAAACCACTGGTGCATTTTGTGCCAGTACAAACCGAGGGGGAAGCCCTAAAATGCCAACAGCAAAGCAGAAGATGCAAACGCTCTGCTGGTCTCCTGGGGCTGCTGACTAACACCCCAGGGGACTAAGATGCCTGTGTGATCCCTGCTGGCATCTGCCTGGTGAGGAATTTCTGTGCCCAGGGTGGCTGCAGAGCTAGGCCTGTCACCAGGGCTGCAGGCAGGGAGTGGAGGGTTTCGGCTGCTGAACAGCAAAGGCTGCTGGCAGCTTAACAGGATTTGACAGGGTTTACTCAGCTTCCTGATGCTGTGAAAGAGCAAAATTGCCTGTAATAAGGTCAGGAGGAGTTGGCACGGGTGGTAACGTGCGTGGGTACGTCCACATTCATGTGTGAGCCTGACATCTCTGATTCCTCCCCCCAAGCCCTTTCTGCTGGGTATTTCCAGCCTCTGAGGACTGTCCCTATAGGGTGTGGAGCTTTTGTGCCTCTCACAGTGATAGAGAAACCCAGAACCTCATCCCACACTTAACATCTGCCACCAAGGCTGTGAAGGCAGCAGCCTGGCCATGGCCATTCTCTGATGGCAGCTGTCCTACCTAAGGACTATTTGGAAACATTTAGGAATACAGCAGGAAAAGCTGCTCTTTTTTTTTGTTGCTGAATCCCTCAGCTATAAATAAAAAGCAGGGAGTTTTATGCTGTCTACTTTACTACTTTTTTTTTGTTCTGGATTGGAGACAACATCAAACTAAAATTTCTTTATGAGCAAAACAACTGCCTCTGGCAACCATCACCTCAAAGTGTTTGGTGGTGTCTCTTCTCTATGATGTGATATTCCTGGAAGAAAACATTACTTGTGCTCTGCTTAGAGACTGCTGGTATTTACACAAACTTACACAGCTAAACAGCCAGCACTGCATCCCCAAGCCAAGCTCAGATGCTGGTAGGAAAGCTTGGAAACTAGAGCTTCTTGTTAAAACTGATTTAATCAACCAGGCTTTGGAAAAAGCTTTAAAAATAATTTTATTTTTTTAAAAAGGGGGTTAAAAAGGGTAGAAAACAAAGTGGCAGGGGGCTGTGTTAGGATTCCCAGGGAATAGGTTTCATTTGTTGACACTGAAATGCAGAATTGACCATGGGTAAGAGGTGGCACAAGGAAACCCCATCATCCCACCTGCTGCTCCCTCCCCAGTGTTAGATCCAGACACAACCATTTCTGCCAGATTAATTGCTGAAAATACTAAAATCAAATGTGATACCCTGTGGACACTCTTTGAAAGCCACCCCTCCAGGCTACTCTTCTCCAACCCCAATGTGATGAGAGGCCTCACAATTTGCAAGTGAAACGGGGCAGCTGCGAGTGGCGCTGACAGAGAGGATCAGATACCTGGGATGCACTGGAATCACTGGGATGGAAACCTGTCACCCATCTGAGCACTGGACTTTGATCCAGCCAGTGTTTATTGTTCCTCCTCTTGGAAGAGCAAACAAACAGCTCTTCCAGGGCCAGGCAGTGAAACCTGGTAGGGAGCTACTAAGCAGAGGCTGAAGGGTGATGGGGAATGACCCCATGAAGCCTGGAGGCAACTTGGAAAAAGCTGTAGTTTGATACAAAGAAATCAAAGAGAAGCAGCTTTGCTGTGTCTTTGAATTAGGCAGCCTCAGGAGGAAAGTGCTGGACCCAGAGATGCAGCCAGGAAAGCCCAGCTGGGAGCATGGGTGCTTCACCCCAAAACCTGCCTCAAGAACCTGCCCTGGAAGCAGCTGCTCCCTCCCCTGTGCAAGGATGCTCCGTGCCACGGGAGTTGTGGTGCTGGCATCCTCCAGCTCTGTCCTCCAGCTCCATTCTCCAGTTCCATTCTCCAGCTCTGTCTCTGCTGGCAGCTCCCCAAGGAGCTGACTCACTCTGGGCTGTGCAGGGCAGGGGATGCCCAGCCCCGCTGGCCCTGCAGTTCACTCCTGCCATTCACCCAGCTTTGATGTTTCATGGAGGCACATCAGGAGCATTCCTGTGCCCTGCTGCCGGCAAGCACCTGAGGGGCAGCACAGGATCATGTCTGAGACTATTAACAGCTCAGTGGAGCAGCAGCATCCATCTCCCACACCCCCAGCTCTACCAAGGCACCTCTCCCTGCAGATGTTTGCTCTTCTGAACCCTCAGCTTGAGATCACCACTAACTTATTTTTTATTTCATCAGGGTCAGTATTTTGGCAGTGGTGACACACAGTCCATCATTCTTCTGAATAAAGCTCTAGATGAAGGGACACAACTGTCAGGGGAGTCAAACTGAGCTAAGAGGGAATGGTCTATAGGCACCAGCACACATTAAAGCAGCACTGACGGAGCATATGGATACACCATTGAAGGAAAAGCTCTACTCACCCTCTCCAGGTCTTGTCTGAGGTGCATGAAGAGCTTCAAGCGCCGGTAGAGAACATCCTGTTCTTGCTGGGCCAAGTTGTCCACTTCATCTGTTTTTGGTGTCAGCAGCGGTTTGTTGGAATTTGCTTTCCTCTTCAGCTTCCAGTACTGGTAGACAAAATCCACGAGCGATTCGCTCAAGTCAAGGTTCTCCGCCACCTCTGAAGGCTTCACGAGTTCATAGAAGTCCTCCTCCAGCTGCTGGAGCTTCTGCTTCCGCAGCGTCACCTTCTCCAAGTCCAGCTGGGCTTGGTCGGGCTCTGTCCGTGCCTCCTCGGGCAACTTGGTGGCACCAGTGCTGTGCTCAAGGCAGAAGGACTTGAACTTCACTTCGTCGTTGTCTGCTAGAATAGTCCGCATGTCCAGGTTGTGGTCAAAGGCGCAGGTGACGTGGAACGCGGTGACACAGGCAGGCATGGAGCACTGCAGGGAGAAGGACAAGGCTCAGGGCCAGGCCAAAGCACTTACCAACACAAAAGGACCACAAGCGCTTGCTACAACACCTACCACAGAGTGATGGATGCTCCACAACAGGTACTCCTTACAAAGGAACACCTGTATTGCCCAAGTCTTGCACACACCTTTGAGCCGGACACCATAAACCACAGAAGAAGAAACCCAGGGCTCACTAGATGGGCACCTTCCCACCTTACCTGCTTTAATCCTCTGTGACAGAATCTGCTCATCTTTCACCTACCATGAACAGGAGCTTCCAGTGGTTCTTCCAACAAGACATGACAAAGCACAGGCCAATAGGATGCTCAAAGGCTGTCAATGCATTTCTCCTGATGGAGAACTCTCATCTGTCTTTTACCCTTAAACTACTCCACTCTGTTAAAGCCAACATGCAATGTTCACAGAGACCATGCAGAACACGTCCAGGTCTCTGAGTAAACGTGGTATCTCAGGAGCAGCCAAGGCTCCTGGAGCACAACATCTTTCTCCTCGGGAAATTACACAGCCTCTAACAAGCCCCATTCAGAAATTAAAAACAGAAAGGGCAACTCAGCATTCACAGAGCAAAACTGTTGTCAAGCTTCCATCACATTCAGTTTTTTCCTGTTTCCCTAACTCACCTCAGGCTTAAATTACTTGGATCCCACAGCCAACAAACCTCAGCCTGGTTGCTTTCAGAGGAGCCCCCAGCCAGTGCAGTGCCTGTGTCCACATCAGCACCTTCTCCCCCTCTGCTCATTAACTGTTTTTTTTTAATGTCTCAGAGTGTCAGGTAATTATTTCAACCATAAACCATAAGAAATCAGTCTATTCCAGCTGCTAATGACCAGTTAAACTGCAATAATGAGACATTTTAAGTGGGCTATTACTGCAGACTCCGTATTTCAGTACTTATAGAGGAATTGTTCTTGTGGGGGATGAAGATACAATTGTGGCCTGAAGGAGCAGGTGGAAAGGCACATGAAATTTCCAGGATGGTGATGACAATTCAGGATGCTGCAGAGTTTTACAAGGGCTTTGCTGCACTTTAATACTCAAAAAAGAAAAAAATAAATATAAATTCTGGTAGTAGTTGAGGAACAGAAGTTTGATGGCTCATTATCTTCAATCCCATCAGCCCTGAATTCCTGCTCAGTCACCCAGTGTGCGAACTTTTGACATTACTGCTTTTAGATACTTTTCCTTGACTTTGTTTATGAATCTATTGATGCTTATGAAAGCAAGAGACTCACACTGGGCCAAGAAAAGTGTGGGCAAGCAGTGTCCAAGTCCCTCACTTCCAGGGCTCTCCAGGCCCTGCTCCAAAGCCTCCAGAACCAGCAGGAAGAGCTGGATGTAGCCCCACCACAGCCAAGCTCTGATGTACCAGCACGGTTCCAGGCACTAATTCCTGTAGGCATCAAATTCAAGTGGATTATTAACTCCTACCCTTTCAATATCTCCATTTGGTCCCAATTTCAGCCTGAAATTGCTCGTGAAAATAGCTGATGGCTTGCAAAAATCAGCTCCTTCTGTTCTGCTGCTGAGGCTTACGTGGAGCCTGGCACCGTGTGGGATATGTTGGTGCTCCCTGTGCTGGTGTACTCCTGATGTACTTTGTGAGCTAAGGAAAGCAACGTCCCCTTCCTCCTCTTTCTGTCACAGGACTAATCATCGCATTAGCAAAACAGTTGTGGTTTCTGCCAGGACAAGGTCCCACTAACAGGAACGACCATCACTCCACCTTAGGAATAAAGCCAATCAAATGAGACCCGTCCTGGATCTCTCCTCCGACAGATGGCAAGCAGCACTTGTCAGGAACCGTGCCCAAAATGCAAATAGAAAGTAATTAGGCAGCTTGGCTGACAGGGCAACAAAGAAAGGTACCTGGTCGGCCATGGCTACCCAGGGACCTTGCATAAACTGACAGTAAAAACATATTGATCCATCCCAAACTGACACAGGAACGATGCTGCTTTTTGCAGGAGGGAGGGATCTGCCATGCCAAATAAACCAGGCTCAAAAAACCAGAGCAGCCCCCAAGTCTGCTTCGTTATCAGCCGTGCTTCGTTATAGTTCAGCACCTTTCATTTGAGGATTGCAGCAAACTCTGCTCAGCCAGGCACATCCATCCCCAAGCAGGATTCCAAAAGAGAGGGTAAAAACTGCACCAGGGATTAATGTCATCTGTTAAATTAGTCCTCAAACCACTCTCAGTGGGAAGAAATAGAGGGATGGATTTTATTTGCCAAGGAAATCCGAGGAGCAGTTTCCCAGCTCACAGAGGAGCTGTGCTGCTCTTTGGGGCTGGAGGGGAAGGAAGTGGCTCCTCCAACAGACCTGCAAGGGGAACTCAGGAAGGAAAAATTAATTACCGGTGCTGAACTCCAGCCAAGGCATCAGCCACGACACTTCTGCATCCCTACCAAAACTACCGGGTGACTTTTAGTGACCACAGATGGTCTGGATCCTGGTAGGGCTTCTCTGCTGAAATAGGGAATTTCAGCATCCTTGGAGGATGAAGGGCTGAGGTGGGCAATGGTGTGGGGGCTGCAGGGTGCTCACACACTGGTGTCAAGCTGTACATCTTCAGGGCTACAGGCACAATTGGACAACAGCTCTGGGAACCACCAGGCCTGTTATCCACTCCCAGTGGAGGGGGACCAGTTGCACAAGCAGCTCAAGGGAAGTGGGCAGCAGTGGACAGAGGAGTCATAATGAAGGAGGACACTTCCCAAGGCTTTTCCTCCAAAAAACAACATCAAAAAGAGAGTTGGAAGATGATGACAGCAGAAGATCATGCCCTTTGGAGAAGCCTGCCAGCAGCTGACAGAGACCTGGCATTTTGTGCTGCATTGAGAGGCCCTGGTGAGCTCTTCCAGTTGCTCGAAGGAGGGAGGAGGGAGTTAGTGAGGAGGGAGATGGGTCCCAAGCAAATGCAGCTGGGACTCAGGCTGTGCTGGAGCCTGGCTCTGAGCACTCTCTTTTCCCATCTTAGCAATGCAAATGAGAAAATTCCTGCAAAAAACCTGCTGGATACTGGAGCTCTCTCTGGCATCTCCTGCTGTCTGACCACAAGAACGACCATGAAGTAATGATTTCCCCTTCACAGGAGATGGGGGAAGTGTGCCTCCAGGGCTGCATCCCTGCCCAGTGTCTGGGAGCACCAGCTCAGCTACAGCCATGCTGGGTTACATCAGGATCACAGCTCTTCACCAGAAAAGAAAGGATGTAATTGCAAGCCAGGAGCAAGGTCAGAGGCACAGAGAGCAGCAAGGAGCCCTCCTCAGGCTTCCCTGGGCTTGTTTCCCTTTTGAAGGTCAAAATTTGGATGGGGAATAATGCCCTGATGCACAGAGGTGCCTATGGAAAACCAGCTCACGTTGGTCTCCGTAGATGTGGTTGAGATGGGTGTTTGATTCAGCTGTGGTGCTGACCCTGAGCATCCCCATGCCCCACTGGGGTGACAATATTCCACTCCTCCAGCTTGGATTTTGTTTCCCTTTTCTGCAAAGCCCAGTTTCATCCAGCCACTTGGAAAACCCTGTTCTGGAAGCACCATCCCTCCTTCCCCAGACCTGCCCCACCTTCAGCACTGGATTCCTACTGCCAAGGATAAAGGCTCAGTTGCTTTAGCAGAAAACAACCTCCTCCTTTCAGAGCTGGGTCATAAACCCAAAAGCCTGACAAGGGTAGTTAGATTACACCTGTACAAACAGGCACTAATCAAAAATACGCTCCATAAACACAAGCTTTCAAAACAGAGCTCTGTGCTGCTGATGAGTATGGAGCGTGTTTATTTATCCATGGCTGAACTTGCTGATTTACCCCATAAATCCTTAAATAGAGGAACTGCCTGCCTTTTTTTTTTTTTTCCTTCCTTCTTCTCTCCCTCTTCTCCTTGAAGCAAAACCATCCAGAGTGTGTTAGGGTGGGCTTGGCAAAAGCTCTGGTGACAATCTTCCAAAGACTTACAAACCACGAGCTGCCAGCACACGAGACAATAAAGCTCCTGTTCCATCTCAGGTGACCTTTAATGCAAATCCACTCAGTCCCAGGGATCTCACAGCTCCTGTGCCACGCCGGCATTAAGAGGATGAAGCCTGCAAGAAGCTGAACTCTTTTTGCTGCTGCCAAGCCTGTTTGCCTCCTTCCCCTGCCCTTCCGTTCTTTGAAAGCAGTCACTGCTATGACACAGTATCTCCATCTGGCAGGGTGAATAAGCAGATCCACCCAGAGCCATCAAACAAGAAGTGAGTCAATGCTAGAGATTTAAAGGAGTACTGTGAGATTTCATTTCAAGCTAAGGGGATTGCTTTTAAATAGCTCCCTTTAAAGTATTAAAGCCAAGGCAGTGGCACAAACGCAGCAGAGCCTGCAGGCCTCCTACTCCCATCGCCTTTCTGCAACCAGCCCAGTTACTTCTGCTCCCCAGTCATCACTGCTGCCTACACTCAGGAGTATCCCACTTTTCTGGCAGCTACACCAAGCCTTTCTCCTGGAGGTTCCTGATTTCAAACCAAGGTCATTTGCAGTCCCAGTAATTAGTGTCATTACAGCAACATCACTGTGTTATGCAAATAAAGTTAATCTAGATTCCTAGCACTCCATACATTAAATGATAGCAAACAACGTCTGATGTCTGATGGGCTCGTGCTCCCTGTTGTCAGGTTACTCAGAGCAGGAATAAGACTCAGCCAGGTCACACCCACCAACAGCTGGAGAGTCTCTGGTGGCTATTACTGGCACAACCCCACAGGTGTGAGGTTCTTCGGTACTGAGTTACATACCTGAATACATGTCCCAGTGCACTCCTTGCAGAGGCTGCAGGACAAAGCCCATCTGCTTGCTGGGATATGTGAGATCTTCGTAATGGGTTCCATTTTTTCAGGACATCCAATGCTAACCTGGTCGTGAAATAGAAGGCAAGTTGTAAATACTGATTTCCATTCCAAATCTCCTCCAGGGGGATGCCTGTGGCAGTGTGAATCAGGGATGGATTTTTTAATGTTATTTTTCAGGGTCACTTGTAACTTGGAAAAAAAACAAAACCCAAACTCCAGAAACTAGAAACAAATCTAGATGGAATGGAAGGAAAAAATTACATTGGTGTTTCCTCTGAATCAAGCCTTCACCTGGATGTTGCTGTGTATCTTAGATGGGCACATGAAATCAGCTTTACCCTGCCCAGAGGTCTTGTGAATGCCCCCCCAACTCTGCACCCTTGAACTCCACCTCTGTGCCCTCCCTTAATGGGGCACCACAGGGCTGCTAATTAAACACACAGCCCAAGGACTGATGAGCACCATGGCTCTGGTCTCGGCACGGCTTGATGATACAAACTGGACTTGCTGTTTAGAACATGAATTAATATCCTGGGCTGAGAACTAGAAACCAAGTCCGTGCCCATTCACGTGTCAAGAGGAGGTTGGAAAACATCTTACTTCAGGTATCCATAAGGCACAGCTAACGTGGACCCATTTCGTCCCGCTCCGGGTGGGCTTCAGCGCTCCCCCCCTCTTGGGGCACAGCAGACACTTGGGCTGGACGCCGAGGGCGCAGGTCCGGCACAGCCAGCTCCCGATGGGCACCTTCAGGATGCCATAGCATGCCTGCATGGACACGGGAAGCAAGGTTAGTCCCAGCAGCCTTGGAAGAGCATCCTCCTGGATCTCCTCCTTCACTTCCACCTCTTTTGCTACCACCGTATCCAGGCATCGTGATAAGAAACAGCAGATGTGAAGCAGCTCCACGAACATGGACAGCGAGGTTGATTCTTCCTTCCTTGCTGCTCTACCTGTTTTCACATGGATACTCATGACAGATAAATACATCCTGGCTTTTAATTGAAAGCTACGTTCACAAACGTGCTGGGCATCACGCATCAGGCACCTGCCTGGCTCTGAGTTGTGGTGGAAAAGCAACCAGGCTGCTCTATCAGGACCCCCACAGCCCCGGCAGCTCTGCACTGTGGACATCTGCCCACTCCTCTCCTGCCTGTTTCTGAACAGCCACCAGACCCACGATGACTCGGAGACGTCAGGAAAAACTCTGCAGGGAAAAACTCTGAGGGAGCAGAGGGCAAAAAGCCACAAGCCCATGATTGAGAAAGCTGGGCACAGTGGTTACACACCCAACCCGCCTGGAAGGGAAGTGAAAATAACTACAGAGAGGTTAAAAAGGGGAAAATGACGGTCATTAATAGAAATGAGAAGGGAGGAACCCTGAAGGATGTTAAATCTAAAGGGTGATAAATCTAAAGGAGGCAAGGACAAGAGCTGAAGGACTCGGGTGCCCCTGGAACTCCCCGATAGCGCAGGATGCGGCAAAGCCAAAGCGCTTCATAAATATTTCTCTCCCGTACTTGGGGAAGAGCCAAATGATAAACCCTGTCACATAATGATGATGATAAAATACTTTCCACTTCGGCTGTAACTTATGACTATATTAAACAGCTCCTGCTAAAACTAGACAGTTTTTAACCGGCAGGTCTTGATAACTCGCTCTTAAAGGGTTTCCAGAGAGCGGAAGACAACTGCCTCGGGGCAATGTCACTATTTTAAGTGAGGAGATGTAATTAATTCTGGAGCTGGCTGCTCTGACATCCCTCCAGAAGGCAAGCGGGCCATGCCGATAAGGACCCCCGGCTCTGTGGGCTGTAAATTGAGCCCAGGCATTTCTCAGCTCCCCTTCTTTCAGTTCACCTCCCAGAGAGAACAGTTTTTCATTGTGGTGCTGTAGGTCACTGTCACTGTGGGTGACAGGCAGAGATGCACAAGCATGGGAAAAGCTTTTCCTCAGTCTTTACTGGCCAAAAACAGAATTTATAACAGGGCTTTAGGTTGCCCCAAAGCACAAAGAGACTCTGATGGTGATTTCCAAGGGGAAAAGGCCACTTCATGAACAGTTTATTGGGATAATAAGGAATTACACGAGGCAATATTATTGCTGTGAGTCTACATGGGTCAGAGAGATTTAACTGTGTGTTTCATAGCGCCTCCAAATCTGACAGATAAATCATTTCTGTAACAGTTTTATAAAGCATCTGATTTAGTACCAGACAAAAATCAGCCTGGTGTGTACTACCAGGAGCATAAACTGGCAGACTGACCTCAAAATCTCAGAGAAAACAGGAATTATGACCAGGTGTGCATCTCTAGCAGAGTCTTGGCTCTCAGTTATTTATTGGTAGAGGTTTTAGAGCAGCTGAAGGTGCAATTTTGCTCCTAGGAGCGAATACAGGGTCTCTGTCCCAGGACCAGAGCGGCTCTGGAAACAAGGAGGGTTATCAGCTGAACATGTTCCCTGTCCAGTACAAGTCAGAAGATCCTCTGGGAACACGGAGCCAGAGCAATGCTGAGCAGGAGAAGGGCAGCTATTTTTATATCTCTGCCTGTCACGGGCTCAGTGTGACCAAAAAGGGGGCACCAAAAAAACAAGGAGGATGCCGAGCCACAGAAAAGCTTGGTGTGGTCCACATAACAGAGGGAGGGGGCTTGGCCATGTCCCCATGCCAAGGAATGCGAATTCCATAATGACAGGAACAGGGCACAGTGGCTGGAAGCTGATGGATCATTCCCGTGTCAAACAGAAGTGCGATGTTGCCACCACGAGACCAATGAACCACAAGGATTTAGCAGTGTAGGGGGGAAGATTCCTCCTCACTTTCCAAATGAAGACTGCAAGTGTTCTCCAAAAGCTACACTTCACAGGAATTAATTAATAGCAAGTCTCACGGCTGCGTTACGCAGATGAGATGATGACAACAATCCCTTGCAGCACCAAAACCCACCAACGTGTGTCTGAGCACAGCCCTGCCTGCCCCTTCCCACTGGGAAGCAGGAGGACCGTGTCCTGTGGGACCCCAGCTTCCCTCTGCTGCTCCCCCAATCCATGCAGCCCATAGCATGGGCACCTGGTCCCTTTCAGGAAAGCATCATCTCCAGCAGGTCTGGGACACAGGGCTGATGAAGGCATGGGAAAGGTTAGCTGAGAAACATGATCATAGAATCACAGAATGGTTTGGGTTGGAAGAGAATGTAAAGATATTCCAGTTCCAACCCCTGCCCTGGGCAGGGACACTGTCCTCTAGACCAGGCTGCACAAGCCCCATCTAACATGACCATGAACACTTCCAGGGATGGAGCAGACACAGCTTCTCTGGGCAACCTGGGCCAGTGTCTCACCACCCTCACAGGAAAAAATTTCTTCCTAATGTCTAACCTAAATCTCCTCTTTTTGAGCTTAAAGCCATTCTCCTTTGTCCCATCACTCCATGCCCTAGTACAAAGTCCCTCCCTGGCCTTAGTCTAGCTCCTTCAGATACTGGAAGGAGCTGTAAGGTCTCCCTGGAGCCTTCTCTTCTCCACACTGAACAATCTCAACATTCTCAGCCCATCTTCATAGCAGAGGTGTTTCAGCCTCTGATCATCTTTGTGGCCTCCTCTGGACTCGCTCCAACAGCTCCATGATGCCGTGTAACACCCTGGGCTCTGGCAGCTTAGGGTGTAAATGAGGGCAGAGGTTAGATCACAGCCAGCTTATGGGCTGGAACTGGGCTTAGGGGCTGGACTCTGCTCTCTGAAAACAACAGAAAATCTCCTATTTCATTCAACAGCCTTGAAACCCAACATGTCCAAAGCAGAGCCCACGGGGCTGCCACGATCCATAGGGGCCCAGACACAGTCCATATGTCCCCATGGCAGCCCTACTCAGGTGGACCACCCCCTTGAGCCCCTGCCCGGCAGCAGTGTCAGCCCATGACCTGACATTGCCACTTAGGCTTGCTAAAAAAAACCAAAACAAAACAAAAAAAAAAACAACACAAAGAAACCCAAAACTCAAAGCTGAATCATCCTGGTATTTTGTGGAATCTGATTCACTGATGGAAACCATTCAAAACACCCACCTCCCACAACTATAGATATCTCCAGCGCTCTCCCACGTCCAGGAAGCACTGATGGAAAAGCTGCCCAGACAAGGAGCAAATGGTTTGCTTCAGAGGAAAAAAAACTCCAACCCTTCACTCATAGAGGGTGAAGCCCAGGAGCTGCCACCATTGTCCCAGCAATACACAGTGCTTCAACCAGCAATACCTCCCTGGACCCATGTGGGAACCAGGAGACCCCCGCATGGCTGCCTTCTCCTTGTCAAGGTTTCTCCAAGCACAGGAGCCCACAGATTCCCCCCAGCAAGGCCCTGAAACATTTGCATTCAGTTCTAAAAATAAAATTATTTCCCTCCAGGCAGCAAAACAAAATGAAATCCTACACTGGTACATTGGGGAAGCTGGGACAGAAACCCTGCCATGTGAGACAACATTGAAGGAGCTGGAAGGTCCCACTGCCCTCAGCCTAACACCATGAAGGAGGCTGGAGGTCCTGGGAATTCAGACCATTTCCCTCCTAGCCTACCATGCTGCTGGTCACCCCTGGGTGCTAAAGGTCCTGTGGCTGCAGTTTAATAAAGAAAGATGGGTAAAGAGAGAAGAATAAGCCCATTTATGGAAGAGGAGGCATAAAATAAAATATCACAGAGAATGAGGAGGAGGGGGCACAACAAGCTTGCAGGAATCAGTTTTCAACCTCTAATTGTGTATTTCTGTGGGCATTTATGAAGGTCTGGGGCTAAGAAAGCAAGGAAGCCAAGTCTGCTGTCTGCCTGCTACCCAGGAGCCCCCTTTGCTGTCCACATACACTCTGGGAATCCATCAGAAAAGCTCAGCGCGGATCTGGAGCAGCTCAGGGCAAGGGGGAGGGGAGGAGCCCAGAGGGTGCATAGAGGGAACAGGTCTATAGGTAGGTCAGGGGGACAGGGACACAGCGTGCTGTGCAGACAGCCCAAGCCTGCTCACCTGGTGCACGCAGACGTTGCACTTGTCACAAAAGACCATCTCGTTGCCGTCCTCCCCCTCGGGCGAGCGGCAGACGTCGCACACCACGTCCTCGTCGTACTCGATGCCCAAGCCCTCCTCCGTCTCGATGGCCATGTTCATGTTCTCGTAGCACATGGTCTCCAGCTCCTCCAGCACTCGCTCCAGGGTGATCTCGTCCAGCTCGGGCTTTTCTGCAAGGCAGAACAAACTGATGACCACCTGCCTTGGGCAAGCGTTTTGCAAAGGGTTTTAAACTGGAAGTCAGGAGGCAAATCCAGGGCGATGGACAAGGCAGCTGTTCAGGAAACGGCTGCTTCTAGCTGGGGATGCAGTTTATGTTTCATAGACAGCAACAAAATATTGCTGCTGGCTGAGAGGAAAGAAACCCTTTCAGCTGAAGCAATGCGGATAATTAGGTCTGACAGTTTAAATGGTCAAGGAGACAACTTTTGCAAAGATGCTTTCTGCAGCGAGGACTACGACAAGCTTTGGCAACACCAAGTCAATGCTTTAATTGTTAAGGCTGAAAATTGACCCTTTTAAGGCCAATTAAATGAAAATGTGAAACTGAAGCCAAAGGCTGAAACTAAAAGACAAATAGGGTTTTTTTTCCTGTTTGGGTTTGGTGGAATCAGAAGGTCAGACACTACTGTGTCATATTTTATTCCCCCCATACTAGGATCTTCAGTGGAAAGAAGTAGACAAAGGTGCTTTACCAGAGTTTGGCTTCTCCAGACTTACAGTCAGGAATATGAAGCCAATAACCAGGAGAGGCTTTCTCAGAGCAATAACCTCTAGCAGCAGGATAACTGGCCACCGCTATGGGGGGGATGCTGCCAGGAGCTCAGCAGCACCAAAAGGGTGCCAGGGTGAGAGTTGTCCCCAAGGTGCTGCCTCTCACCCACCCACAAGGATCCTGGTGCCACAAATGCAATGTGAGGTCACTCCAGGTAAGGGGGACAAAAAAAAGAAGGCAAAAAATCTGTCAGCAGCGGGAGAGGGGTAACAGGCAGAGTTAAGTCCCCACTGCACCCCTATCTCCCCATGAGCACAATTTCATCATGGGGATTGAGACACAAGCAGGATGCAATAAAAAACATTTCACCTTTGCATTTCATTTGCTTGTATGATCCATGATGATGGCTGAGGTGCTCCAGAAAGCACCAGCCAGTGGAGAAGCCTGACCCACGCTGCTGTCCACCTTTCTTGTTGCAAAGCAACCAGAGAAAATATCTCATTTATGAGCAGAGAAGGGGAAAAAAGGCTTGAGGCAGTACTAATACCAAGCAGGTAATTAAACTTTTAGTGAGAAATTTGCCATGCTGGGCATCTCTTGAACCGCAGCGTGATGTCCCTGTCCCAGGCAGAGCTCTGGGAGGGGTGAGGCACGGGGGTCCCAGAGGCAGTATTCCCAGCCCCCCCAGCTGGACGATGCCAACAGAGGCTGCACCTTCCCCTGATGGCCCCAGACTGGCTGGACAAGCTCTGTCCAAGGGTACAACAACCCCCAGGCGAGCTCGGCAAGCGAACACACCATTGTCTGCCTTTTTGAGCTCTTCCCCAGTGCTTTACATTGGCACGAGTTCCCTTCGCTTGACAAGTCTCTGCAAACATCTAGCCTGGCATTTTCCATGTCTCTGTCAAGTCTGAGATACCATCTAAGCCAGACAACACTGCTCCCTATCACAGCCCTTCCGTGCTGGGGCTGCTGTGCTGCAACACGCCGAGGAACCTGACAGTACCTGTTCTATTCCCCTGCAACCCCAGGATCTTTGCAGAGCCCCAGGCTGGCACAGCCTGCCCAGGGCTTGCTCTTCGCTGGTTGGATGGAACAAGGCAGGGAGTGGGTTACAGATCAAGTCAGTGCATTAATTTTGCCTTCATGGTGTCCCTTTATAAACACATCACCAGTGCTGCACTTGCTGGATGGAAAGCTGCGAGTTATGACTTCATGCAAACATTAGGTATAAGCTCTTGGTCAGTGTTTTAAGTGTACATCTGTGACTATGATCCCGGGCACTTAAGAGTCAGCCTGAAGTTACTCCTTTTCTCCCAGCATTTCAGGCTCTACTCCTTCTGCTCTTCTGGAAAGCAGAATGATCATTAAAGTATTCCTGGTGCTTTTTCCCATGCACTTTCCAGAGCCACCCTGTGTTCAGGGAAAAGGGCAGGCAGAGAGGAAGGAAAGGGAGGGGGGTTTCCACAGGAACCATGACCCAGACCTGCCCACAGGGTCAGGATGGCTCTGACATCACCAGGATCACACTGATAGCACCAGAATTGCACTGGCATCACTGGGATCATGCTGGTATCAGCAGGACCACACTGGCATCATTTGGATCGTGCTCACATCGCTGGGATTGTGCTGGCACCACCACTGTCAATGTTACACCTCAAATGGAAAGAACCAGCTCCCATCCCACCTCCTGCATTTTCCATCCCTGGAATCCCTTTCTAACCCAGGCATCACCATGCCTGGAGATAAAGTCCCCACTGGACCCAGACTTCTCACACTGGAGCAAGACCAGCACCCTGGCAGAGTTTCCTCATCAGCCTACATGCAATGTAGCTGTTCTACTGTTACATCAAAAAATATGGATCTCTGCCTCCCTCCCGCATGCACACGTGTGTGCTCTCACACTCCATTTAGATGTAATTACATTAGGAATTCGTTTGCCAAGTGCCATTCAGAATACCTTGGAGCTTATTGAATTGACAATTGCACTTGATGGGGATGAAGCGATTAATCGCTTATGAAACACTAAACAATGGGGCCTGGGGGTGAAGTGCTTTTCCATTTGTGCTCCATTTATCTCCTTCTGCATCATATGAAGTTTGTGCTATTAAACTCCATTCATAAAATTGTCATCTTTTTGGCTGTGAAAAAGTCATCTGTATTGATTGTGATGACTGATTTTGCTAAACAGCAAAAAAACTCCCAAACTCCACCAAAACACTCCCTGTGTACAGGCACAAGTGACACTTATTGCCCCCAGAAGGAAGAGCAAAGACCCAGATACCAATCTTGGTGACAATGAATAAATCCAGCAACTTCCAAGGAGTTAAGTTCCACTTGAGAACATCACCAGGACCATGGACTCTAACTGCTGAACAAAAGAAAGACATTTTTACCCGGTGAAGATATACAAAAGCCTTCTATGAAAGGTGGGGAGATAAAGAAGCTTTTCTGAGCCTGTGCAGAGGGCAGCATCACTGCAAACTGCTCCATAGCTTCTGTCTGGAGGGACATTGGCAAAAGTGAGAATTTACTCTCACAGCAATATGCTAAGTTGTGTCAGGGCAGGTTTAGATTGGATATTGGGAAAAATTCCTTCCCTGAAATGGTTGTCAGGCCCTGGCACAGGCTGCCCAGGGCAGTGGTGGAGTCATCATCCCTGGAGGGATTTCAAAGCCATGAAGATGTGGTGCTGAGGGACCTGGTTTAGTGGTGGCCTTGGCAGTGCTGGGTTAATGGTTGGACTCAATGATCTTAGGTTGATCTTTTCCAACCCAAAAGTATCTGATTCCATGAATATCAACGATTTGGAACCACATTCAAAACACTAACACAGGAGTGAAAGGCTCCAAGTTCCATCACCCCTTCCAGGAGTCCTTTTGTATCCTCTGCCCATTAACACTGAGCACATAAACCATGACTGGTTCTTGACATGATCACCCTGGGACAGCCCCAGTCCCACCCTGCAGCCAGGGAGCACTGCCTCCCACTGCATCCCAGCTGGAGAAGAGCCATCCTCTCCTGTCCCAAGGCAAAATGCTGGTGGGCAGCGCATGCCCAGCCAAAGGAAGAATCCCTTGGAGAAGGAAGGGGACTTTGCTTTGGAAATGGAGGAAGAGGAGAGGCGCCAGACAATGATGCACAGCAGAAAGTCTCCAGATCTGATTCAGGAAAGAAAAACATGTAGGAACCCAGCCTTGCATTTGAACTTTGCTCCCAGCACAAATCTCTTCCCTGTATCTCTGCCACTGGGATGTGCTGTGATCCCTGCAGCTCCACAGCCTCCCAGCACCCTTGTTTATCCTGGTGGGCTCCTGGGGAGCCCAGCCATGACCCCACACACCTCAGCTCTCCCTGACCTCCCAGCTGCTGTCCATACAGCACCCAAAACACAGGATTTAAACATTTATCCTGAAGGAGCTGGGATCACTGGGCTGGCACCAGAGTCACAGCACCAGGTCTGGGAGAACCACCAGGCACATTCCTTTACACAACGCCGCTCTCCGTTATAATTGTTTCTGTAATATCCTAATTTATGTGGCATGAAGGAGCAATATTCTTCTGCTAAATGAATTCTCAGCTACTCCTTATCGTGGTGTGAGCTGACTCACTGAGCAGGGAAGAAAAAAAATACAGCTGGGGAGCCACCTTTCACAAAACAGAGACCTACTTCTGACTAAACTGCGCTCCACTAAAATCAACTTACTGAAACAATAAATCCTTTACCCTGTGGAGAATACCTGGAGATAAAACAGCTCATGAACAAACAGTCATTAGGACTGCAGGCTGTGCAGTCCATTAGCTGATTCACAAGCTGAAAAACTTGGGAGTCTATTTTTCAGTAAATACATAAATGAGCAAAATTACTGTGCTTTTTTAATAAAAATAAAAAGGAGAGCACTTGTGGGATGATGTAGGCTTCTCCCTAATGTCTTTGAAAAACTAAGAGTGAAAGGACACTAGCTCCCTGATGGGGTTTTGGAGTATAGAATGGGGACCATGGGCTCCTGATGGTCCTGCACTGGGTGAGTTACTGCCAACCTGCTGGCCTGGGCTTCTGCCCCTGCAAAGCTGTGCAGAGGATCCCTTCCCCCTTGGGGCCTGGAAGAATGAAATCAATCCAAAGTTACAAAGCACTGGTTAGATGCTACAACTACGTTTAAGCACCACTGTGAAGAAGGATGCTCTGGGAAAAGCAGTTTGCCTCTGAATAAGGCCAGGAGCTGAGCACCACCAAACTATGGGGACACCTCTTCTCCAGTCTGGGTGCTCCTGTCCCAGACATCCTTTGGGAAGATCAGGGGATGACAACCACCTCAACACCACACTAGCAACCTGGGACACCCCCAGGCACCTCTAACCCATGGACCACAGTGCTTGGGGGATCCATTTATCTCTCATTATGTGTGTGTATATATATATAGATGTAAAATTATAATCAGACCTTTAACCTAAGGTGTGACCAAACAGAAACATGCAACCTTCATGAGCTGAGCATCCCATAAAACTCCCAGATATTTTGTTACAAACACAGCCTGCTATGCACTTAAAAGGTTTACAGGAACCAATTATCACCCCTTTCTGCCACCCACCAACATCAATTATTGCTCAAATTTACGATGATGACAAGATGTTTTAGAAGCCAGTTTATAAGCTGCTGTCTCTCTCTCTCCAGCGATGTTCAGCACTGACAGAGCTGTCCTGGAGCACTCCTGATGAAAGCTTCCATGCTCCATTCAGCACCAAAACTCCGGGTATTGCTGGAAACTACTGCAATTACTGCAAGGGATTTATGGAAATAGCAAAAAGGAAACCTGACATAAAACCTGATTGTGTTGAAAACCGTGGAGGCAAAATGTCTAAAGCTTCTCTTGCTGATTTCCAACCCTGCTAATCCATACACAGAATCACAGAATGACAGGATGGTTTGGGTTGGAAGAGACCTTAAAAACCATCTAGTTCCAACCCCCCTGCCAGGGGCAGGGACACCTCCCACTAGACCAGGCTGCTCCAAGCAGCGTCCCAAAAGGATGAAGTGGGATGGGGTAGACTTGGATAAGGACTCCCAGGACTGCCAGGGAGGCAAGAATCTGCTCTCCATGTGCACTGAGCACACCTTCCCCAGGGGTTACTCCACCGACTTCAATGTATCCCACGTCTACTTGACCAACCTCCCCTCCGCCAAGGGAGGCATCAGCTCATTAGCACACAGACATATCTCAAGTATGCAGTGATGAATTCCCCCTGGAGCTTCAAAAGCAATAAATGTGACCTTTGCATGTTCCTGCCATAAAATACCAGGAACACCTCCAGCTCCCAAGATAGAAGCTGTGGTGGGCATATGTGAGCAGCATACACCATATGGATTAAGTCAAGGGAATACTTAGTAACTTCGACTCTGCCTTCAGTAAAATTTATTCCGGCAACGCTTTCAGCAATTTCTTGAGGATTTTCCATGTGTTTATGAAGTGCCAATCACTGCAAAAAGATCTTCCAGCCTTGCCCTTTGAAGACTCTCCAGCCCTACTCTTACAATAGCCTTGGACTTAGCAGAGATCACAAAATACAGCATAAAATGTTAATATAAAACCAAAGACTTTCCTCTAAAAGGAAAGCCTGTGCTGCCTGGAGTGGTACACACATAAATGTGGTTCTGGGTTTCATTCAGACTCCTTCAGACCCACTTCTTTTACTATCTCATATTGCAGCAGCAACAAATAAAACATTTAGGCATGCTTAAATATTGATTCCATCCCTAGCACACACAAGTTCTTTAAATGGTACGTGTCTGCTGAGCACAGTAACAGCTACTGAGGCATCTTACCAGGGGCTTTAAAGCTATTTAAAGTTATCTTATGTGAACAAAATCTTGCTTTTCAGAGCAATTTCACCTAATTGGGAGAGGAGCTGACAGAGCTATCTGGAGAGAGCTGGAGCTATCTGGAGGTTTATCTGATCTTGGGTGATAAAATTCCATCCTTGGGGTGACCTAAAAAGGACTGGAAAAGGCATGTGCTACGTGGATCAACGGCAAAGCGAGCTGGATGATCTCATAGGTGTTTTCCAGCTCTCCTCCCCACCGCTCCTCAAGAGCCAGTCAGAGATCAGGGTCTTTCTTTGTCATTAAATATTTTTGGAATGACACATTGTGCCCCTGGACTGGCCAGTGACAACAGCTCAGCTAAACACCCAGGAGGAATTTAAACTTCTGCCTATCTCTTGATAACTCCTGACTTCTCAGAAGAGGAGGAGAGGCTGCAATTCTCCAGTGAAGTTATGTTAATGAACTCAGAGATTAGCAAAGCTCCTTTGGAAATCTGAGTACGTCATTAATGTCGAGGGCTTCTGGGACAAAGAGCTATTTATGGGCTGCCTTCAGACCAACCCAAGCAGGCGGCATCTCCTGCGATGGGGGGTGAAGGGCATCCAAATCCCACCCCGCTGCATGGCTTCTCCCATATGGGAAGCAGAGGGAGCAGAGCCTCCATTCTGACACAGCACAGGAGGTGAGCAGCCATAGATTTGCTTCAACAGCCTTCTTTTGCCTCAGCACTTCCACGGGCAGGGTAAGGCATCCTCCAAAGAAGCTGGCTGCAGCCCTGATGCCCCCACAGCCCGTGGTCCAGCCCCTGGCACAGGTATCTTGGGCAATGCCACTGTGATCCCACAGCCAGAAGCACCAGCATCCCCACCTGCCAGACCCCCATCTCCCCACGGCCCTGGGGTTGCTCATCAACACCACAAATTTTTCTTTTCAAGTCACTGCAAAAACTGCACTAGCCCTGGCACTGAAGTAAGGAGGACTGGGGCAAGATAACCAGAATCCTTAGGGATGAAGCCACATCCAGAGTGGATTCCACACGCCAAATACTGGTGTTCAAAGCTACTCTCTCCCCAGCATGCTTAAGACTCGGATAGTAAAGTGCTCTTACATCAACAGAAATGGGCTGAGACTCAAGTGATGAACACAGGCTTTGCATCCACCTCTTCTAGAATCCCCTGGGCTGGTTGTTATCAGGAAGGCTCAGGGGCTTCATCAGAGACCGTGGTCCCACCCAGCATCTCCCAAGGACCATCTTTGAAAAAGGTGATAAACAACAAGGAGCTGGAGCAAGAAAAATGCAGCTGGCTCAAAACTGCACTGAGGGCCAGTGGCAAAGCCTGAGCTGTGTCCTGACATGGGGTGCAGGGTGTGCCTGCTGGGATGCTGCCACCCAGCCCACCCAACACACCTGCACAGAGCAAGGTGATAGGGCTGTGACAATGCTCAGGCTCCCCTCCTAAATCCCACCTGCTCCCAAAGTCGTGCTGCTGGTGAAGCCACCTCTCCTCCCAGCCTGCTCCCACCCCAACAGCACTCAACCCATCTCAACCTTCCAGCTCCCCATCAGCATGGGAACTCCACATCTGAAAGGCATTTCACACACTGCATTTGTAACCTAGTACTTTGAAAAAATAATAAAGCCAGCCAAATTTAACCCAACTGAGCTGAAGAAGCCAAACCTCTGCTTGCTAGCTTTCAAGAGACCAATGAAACATGGGGAAGTGGGAAGTGGACATACAGACAAGCCTTCTCTGGGGCCCAGAGACACCTCTGATGGTCAACCAGCTGTGGAGATGGAAATGCAGCAGGAGACACAGTTAAAGCACAGTGCAGGCAGAAGGATGCCCAGCGTGGTACAGGCTGTTTTCCTGGTGCAGTGATGGCAGCTGTGCAGCATCAGAAGGGGTGGATCCTTTGCAAGGATCCTCAGGCAAGACTGAGCTGCTGAGCCTTGCCCAGGAGCACCCTCTGCTCTGCCCAAGAACTTGACCACAGCTGCTGCTGCCTCCAAACCCAGCTGTGCTAATGACAGAGCTGAGGCTGCTAATAAAGGACCAGTCAATGAGGGCAAAGCTGACAATGATTTGCTAGCGATATTATGGGCTCCACAACACTGAGATTTTGGGAAATCCCATACAGGATACGTATCACAGATAAGGAGCCAAACTCTAAAACCAGCCTCTACAATTTCATCAAGGTCCCAGAGATCATGGTAACAGAATTGCCTTGTAAATCATTAGTACAACAGAAGAACAGAGATAATCTGCAACCAAGATCCACCAATGTGGTTGCCAACATCAGAGCCAGTTTATGCTCCCTGGAAGTTGATGGGACTGACTCTTACTGCAAATACCTTGCTGAACCTGGCTGCAGGGCTGAGCCAGCTGGCTGTGAGACAGCATGACCCTCCTGTCCAGCTCTGCACGATCCCATCTGCTCCAGCCCATGGTAACATACTTTGTCCCACCCTTGAAAGACCCCTGCCACGGGGAGTGATGCTTCATGTAGGCACACTTCAGCTCTCACCAACCTCACAAGGTGCATGTTTCATTGCGCTGCTGTTCTTACCTGTGCAGCGGCACCCAGGCCACAGCAAACCTTCCCTAACAAGGACTGGAAAATCCCTCCAGTCTGGCAGGACTACACACCCACGTGTCTCTGCCAACAGATTTGCCCAGCAGACCGTGCTAATCACTAGTGCCAGTGGTCAAATTCCAAGTCCAGGTACTTGCAACTCAACCGAATTGCACTGATGGGTTTTAAGAATGTGCAGTGATAAAACAACAGTGGTGCAGGCCACAGGGTGCTGTGGTAGAGACAACCCAAGACCAGCATTTCTAAGAACTGCACACTTCTACTAGGAAGTCCTCTTTCCCCTGACCCTGTCTGCCCAGCTGGCTACAGCTGGAGAAACACTGCAGAAATGCTTTCAGATGGGGCCAGTCAAATTAAGAAGAGTCAGGTCAACACACCCATTCTGACCAACACCTCCTCCTGCTTTTGTTCCATGGGGTTACTTAAAAAGTTGGAATGCCCTCTCTGGGATGCCCAGGCAAAGAGAAAAACAACAGCAACACTCACCCATCTCCTTGAGCTCCATATTAACAAGTTCCAACCAGTAAGCATCGAGCTCATCCAGGTCATAGCGGCTCATTCCTTGCAAGTAAGTCTTTGTAGCCTCCGAAATCTCAGAGCCAGGCAGGCTACTTGGTGAAACCTGTGAAGGTGAGTTTTCCAGCTGGGGTATGATCCTGGAAGAAAAGAAGGAGAGGCTGAGAAAGAGCTACAACTTGGCAAAGTCTCCCGTTTCTTGCCATGGATGGTGCACGCCACGTACATGCCCATGCCCAACTCCAAGAGGGAAAGCAAGCCCAGCAAAATAAAAGTGGTTTTGTGCTGTCATCTCCTGTGCCTCAGATCCTTGGAGGACCACAACTTGGACACAAGCACCTGCCCAGAGACTGCTGGTCTGGGCAACCTTAAGCGATGGTTTGAGTTGGAATGCATGAAAACAAGCTGATTTTCAGAAAGCGATGAGTGCAGCCTGGCTGCCAGCTCCCCTTCCCAGGACCTCAAACCTGGAGTCTGTGCTTTTTCCAGTGTCCCAGAGAAAAGCAGCACAGCTCCAGTTCCCAGTGGGCTGGCTTCCAATGCAGCTACATGGCCATCCTCCTTGGGCTGCTATCAGGAGGGGAAGGAGCCACCTGGGAATCAGGAATTTGGTTTCTGACCTGTGCCTTCACCTGCTTCAGAGTACTCTTCCCTGCAGACTGGTCATGTAACACCAGTCCCTTCAGACCCAAAATCAGTCCCAGTGCTGCACACAGGCTTTTCCAACATGTCTTATTCTTCCCAAAAATCTACCGATGCTGTTGGTACAAACCCTCCTTGCCCCTGCTCAGATCAACACTGCAGAGCAGCCCCTGGGATGCAGGGAGTGGGCAGCTCTGCACCGGACTCTCTGTAGGATCATGCCTGCTCTTCATGAGTTCCCAGTTCCTCCTCACACCATGAGGAATTAAGCCATTTTTCCACTTCATGTGGCTCCTTCCTTCCTCCCCATCTTGCCTGACCACCAGCCTGCCAGCAGCAGCCTCCTAGCTGTTTGTATTCCTTAGTTAAATAACTCAACCTAAAGCTCCAGCCACCAGCATCAACCTCATGCTGCTCCCCCCGACATTAGTGGGTTATTCCTCCCCACGGGAGCTTGCTGGAATAGCATGTCAGGGCAGAAAAGAGCCTGTTTGGGAGAAATACACTGTCCTGCCTAGAAAAGTGGGAAATCTGAAGTGTGAAACACATGCAAGTACCAGGGCTGTCAGGAATAGTGACACTATTGCCTGGAGCCAGTGGTCTTCCTGGCAAGGGGGTCTGTGGACCAACCCACCCCTGCTCCAAGGCCATGAAGGGGCATTCCACACCCCCAAAAGGAAGGATGCACCCAGATATGGGATAAAGACAGGGATAGGGCTATGGCAAGGGCTTCTGTTCACCACGCTGGCATCTGAACCACTCTGCTGACCCATTCATCTACAAAAATTATATGAGAAAAATGAGCTGTGAGGGATATGATGGTCCAACTACTGACAGCAACAGTGACTCCTCCAGCCATTAATTCCTCAGAAGCAATTACTGCTGATTTACTGGGACACAACCAAGATCGGATCCTGCTCCTGGGCTGCCCAGATGAGATGCCTGCTCCACTCTGTGCCAGTATCCACTCCCCAGGGCATCATTTGCTGGCAGAGCAACCCCTGATATCAAACACCCTCCAGGCCAGCCCCTGCAACCCAGCCCCCTCACGGGACACCTTCAGTGTGCCACGGACTTTAGAGCCACGTTCACCCTGTACTGGGCAGTGCTTTGGCTGGCTCAGCCATGGACAACATCCCACAGGGTCAGTGAGGTTTGTGCTGAGCACTCTCTAATCACAACCACAGAGAGGGGCAGAGGGGCTGCCTGGTCTGCTGCAAACCCCCTGCACGGGGGGCCAACAGGCACTGTCTGGCTGCTCTCCTGCTGCTCCCTGGCAGCTCGGTGGCGATATGCACGACACTTGCCATGCACACGTCGACAGCGTCACATGTAATGACATGCAAGCAGAGGCCGAGCTGGCAGTGAAGAGCAGCCCGTGGTGGCAGCTGACAGAGCTCTGTGAAGCCAGGAGCTGCAGTCTTTGCACAGCTCCTGTCTCCTCCCCCAAACACCAGCTCCTGTTGCACATGTCGGCAGGGAAAGACGCTGCAAAAAGCCAAACAAACAGCAACCACTGTAGCGCATCCGCATCACCCTTCCCAAGCAGCTTCTCTGCCATGCAAAGCACAAGGATCCAACCCTATTCTTCCACCAGGGAAGCCTGTTATCCCCTGTCAGGCTTTTCTCTGCCTTCAGTCGTGGTATGTGAGTTAATATCAGAGCATCAAGGGCCTCATGCTCTGGGATGTGTCTGGGGCAAAGCCATCGGGCCCATCACGGAACCAGCTCAATGGTGGGACCAGACGCTCCATGGTCTGTAAGGGCCAAGGGGAGAAATTTGTGCACAAAGGCCCTAAGGGACAGGACCCTACCTCCCTTGCCCAAGATTGGGAAGGAAATTTGTGGCAGGGCAGGAAAATGAACCTAGAGTTTCTCTGGACTCAGACAGGTAGTTTGATTTCTGTCCTCTGCAGTCACAGCCACTGGAAGCACTTCCAGAGCCACCAGCTGGAGAAGCAATAATTTGACTGTTTGGAGAGGGAAACATCAACAAAGGAGTTCTTTGTGCTTCTTTCTCCACCAGCAAGTTGAAAATAAAGGTGTGTCCCCATGCCCTGAGGACATGTCTAAATCTCAGTTCAGGATCTGGAAACAGTCCCATGAAAAGGCAGCTCTCAGATGGTCCCCAGATTTAAAAATCTAGGACAGGGCTTGAGGAGTCAGTAACACCTGCATTTAATGCAGACAGGAATAATAACACTGAAGCCATGCCTGCTCGAGCCAGGCTTCAGGAATCTCATCTAAGGAGCTCCCAGCCCCTGAAACACAGAGGAATCACTGGTGCAAGGTGCCTTGGTCCAAGGACTGACCCTCTGCTTCCCAGGTCCTGCTCAGCCCTGCAAAGTTCCTGCCCCCAAGAGCCACAGGCAGGCCGGGCACGGCGGCTGGCAGGGGGAAGCAAGTTGTTAAGAAGAAAAACAAATCAATCAGGAATGTTCCTGCTGCAAAAAGCTGTGTGAGCAGGCATGGGGACGGTGTCTAAGCCATCCTTAAGCTGGGTTACACAAGCTGCTGGCCCAGGAGCTGGCTGCAACAGGTGACAAGCTGACAGGGCCATGGGATGCTTGGGATGGCGGGAGCCACTATTTTTAGCTCGGTGTAAAAGTGCAAAGATTAATTCTCTGTGTACACAGCAAAGGGGCAGCCTGAGCAGGTTGTTTACTGTGTTGACAGCCACTGAAACACACTTAGTCTGGTAAGGACACTGCTGGGGACTGGAGCCATCCATCTCTTTGCAGGTCACAGCCTGGGCCAGCTGCCCTGAGGTGTGTGTGTGCAGCCTCTTCCTACTGCAGGTACCTCGTGGAAAAGGAATTTTGCCAAACGTGATGCTGAGAGACAGGAGACAGTTGACTCTCCCTGGTCATGCAGCTGTCTGCTGAAAACTACCGAACCCCAAAACCTGGCTGTGTGTTGAGACTCTCAGGCCCTGTCTTTGAGCAGAGCCAGGGATGCAGGGATCACAGGGAGCTTCCTGGGGCCACTGATGAGAAGTAACTGCACCATCAGCATGGATCTCCATGTTCAGCCCTTCCCAACACCGCGGTGTTGAACAACATTTGCTTTGGTTCAATGGGAACTGGAGGTTACAGAGCAACGCTGCTTCACACCATGTCAGGGATGAGGAACATCAAGTTAAATAAGACACAAATATCTGATGTTACTCACTAGCAATCCTATAAAGAGTAAGTATTAATATGAAACATATCTTAAGAGAACCACTAAACTTTACTTTTGGAGTTTCCCTTTCATGGGCAGGACCTCAGGTCACTATGTCCTGTCAGGTGGCTCTAAGCTATGACCTGAGTGGTGTCAACACCTGCAGCCCAACAGTCCCTGGGAAATAACCATAACATTATTGTTCATACAGTGAGCAGCTTGTATAACCCTACAAAGACCTGCTGGAAGCCTGATCCAGATCAAACCCCTGCCTCATCTGCAGCACTTAGTTAAACACAGGGCTTTTACGGCTCACAAACGATCCATCAAACCACAGGAGACCACATCTGCTCATCTGACTGTCCCTCCCACCCCAAGGAGAGCTGCCAGGTGCTGGAGGCTCACACGGGCCACGCCAAGCCTCAGGGAAAACCAAGCAGGACACGATGCCCAGCAGCGTGTAGCCTCCTTCAATTCCTGGATTTGCTTTAGAGGGTAAAACTATGTTCCAAAAAGCAACTTACTGCTCCCTGACACATGCTAGGACACCTGCAAAGAGCTTCTTGGTGTTCAGCTATAAAGATCAATGACTGCAGAGACAGCTGCCTTGGGCTAGGAGAAACAGTGGAAGGAAGAGATCCTACAATTTAACACAAGAGAGCAATCCTTTGGAAAAACACATGCTCTGATTTACAGCAATAGAGAAAACAGACCGTGCTCTGCACCCCTCCTCAAATACAGTAACATCAAGAGAATTGGAGCCCAGGAAGCTCTGAGTTCTGTGCTGCTTCATGCTCTCCACTGCAAGGCAGACATCAGGCTGCATCAACCCTGGCATGTTCCAATTAAATGGTGACAGGGACACATGAGCACCCTTGGCAGCTTCCTATGGCAGCCAGGGACCCCATGCAGGACACGTCCTCTGAGTGGATCTCCACAAAAAGCAAGAATATGCTCCCAAAAGCACCACCACAGCAAAGCATCACAGAGGCAAGGCCAAACTACTTGCAACAGCTCAGTTACCCTGGAGGAGCATTTACTCCTTTATTTATCCATCCAGCCCAAAACAGGGCATTTAAAAAAAAAACAACAAAACAACAAAAATACCTGTAACCATCAAAAGCTTATTTAAACAAAGGGCTGAAAATTTGGATCAGCCTGAAAAGCACAACAAACCTGAGGCCATTAGTCTGCAAGTGGGTCTCAAGGGCACTTGAGGAAAAGGAGTAAGTGGACCCCAACACTCTTGAGGATCACAGCTATCCCTGGAGAAGATTACAAAGTAATAAAATACACTCAGCAAATTCCCATGGTTAATCATCTCTGTAAACTGAAT